GATTGTGCAGAGATGGCTGTTTTGTATATACAATGCAGAGACAGACAGGGAAAGAGGATTTTAAGTTTTGCTGTGTATTTTTTCCAAGAGATGGTGCAATAATTATTTAAATTTGTTTCAGATATTGTGGATGCCAGACTGATACCATGCGGAGACGAGCCCCTGAGGCAGCTCAGCTTTAAAAAAGATGTACGTGTAAAGCTCTTAGTGCAGTGTTTGATACATACCAAGTACTCAAATAATTGTGTCTTTATAACTTGTCTGTCTCTACCACAAAACTTGTCTTCATCTCTATGCCAACCTATGGCCTGCCCTACATGGCTACCAGTGGGTGCTCAACAGGAGGAAGCCTCCATGGGAACCCCAAAGCCAACCAAAGTCTGGTAAGACCATACTCCCAGAACAAACACCCTGATACTTAAGCTGACCACAGGAACGGAAGCAGGATCAGTACAGGAAGGGGCTCTTTGCTGTACCCTGCTATGGGGGATGGGCTCTTCCTTTCTCCTTGTCACTGTTCCCAGCCCAGACACAGGCTTGCTTCATCCTCTCACCCCCACAGACTGACCTCTGTGCCCTGGGATGTCACCGAGGGGTCAAGGCTCCATGGAGCTCCCAATGGCCAGGGATGCCAAGCATGCCAGGCCAGAACTCTTCACACCAGTTCTCCAGGATTCCTGCCTTTCACAATAGCAGCTCTGCAGTTGAATGTGATTGCAGAGGAGACCCCTCTCCCAGGACAGCTGGGTGGGGGGATGAGTGATAGTAAGTCCTGGGAGCACCTTCCCTCACAGAACTCCAGTCACAGCACACTACTTGTCATTCCTTCAACACTTCCTACACTTTCCAGTCTCTGTGTTTGCTCACTGTGGTTTTTAGGGGTGCCCTTCCCCGCTTTCTGCCGAATTAATCCTACTCATTCTCCAAGGTCTAGCCCAAATATCTTCTTTTCCAGGAAACCATATCTACATCCTAAAAGAGCTCCTCCCCCTTATCCCACACTCCTCATTGTAGCCTCTGGTGTAATTCAGGACATAAGGTCTCACTCCAACACTGAACAAAAGTGATTTGGATCAAAGATCATGCCTGGGAGTCAGGGAGATTGAGGTCTGATTCCTGCATCAGTCACTTGTCAGCCCTATATTCTTGGACAAGTTGCTTGGCCTTCTTAAGCCCCTGCATAAAATGGGGGAAAAAATGGGACAGTTCTGAAAAGTAAATGACGTAATGCTCATTAAGCCATCAGCATCATGCTTTGCATACATGTAGCTCTTAATAAATGTGAGTTGTTAATATTTTTTTGGCTCTCTTCTACCTTTAGACCCACCCCCACAGTATGCCACTCAAGGCCTTGACCAGCTCCATATGTGAAAGAGGAATCTTACTGGACCAAGTCTCCCAAGTTCCAGATGTGAAGAGGCTTCCTCCTGAGAGAAGCAGAGATACTGAAAAGAGATTGGAATTTCTGACAACCAGGATCCCAGGAAAGGAAAGGGTGAGAGACCATGATTGTTGGTCAGATGGGATGTAGAGTTGAAGATGGAGAGTTATCAGCCAAAGAAATAGCAATGCTTTCATCAGGGGGAAAAATCTTTTCTTTTGCCCTCTACGTTCAGTATCTGGAAGCCTGTGAATTAAACTAACAAAAGGCAGATTAACAGGAGAAAAGACAAAATTTCTATTAATATCTACCTGCATGGGAGTTTACAGAAAAGAAGTGAAACTCAAATAAGACCCAGAGTTAGATTAGGGGTCTTATGTGCCCTTCTAACAAAGTAAAGAGGGTTTGGGGCCAAAGGGCAATAAATTGTAGAGAAGTGAGTAGGAAATATATGGGGGAACTAATGGAAGAGAAGGGCTATTTTAGGAAGGTCTGCTTATACAAACTCATCTTGGTGTTGACTCCCCATCTTCAATTATGCCCTGCTTTCAGGCTGTTAAGGGGAGGGCACAAAACTCTTCCTGTATCTGTTGCTTCTCTACTGCCTTCAGCTCAAAATAATCTTCATGCCAAAGTGCCATATTTTGGAATGGCATACTCTGATCCCCTTCACTTTGCCTTCCTCTTCAACTGCCAGAAACAAAAATCTAGCAAAGCCTCTTTCTGCAGCCATAAAGAACTGCTACTCAGATCTAGCTCCAAGCGCAATTCTCAGACCCAAACGACCACAGCAACTGGCCTGTGTTCCTACATTCTCATCCCTTCAGGGTATCCAAAAAGGAAGCTCAGAGAAGACACTCCAAGGCCAAGAAGGAAACCACAAAAGAAGCAAAGCTGGGCTTTGGGTGATTAAGATCCACCCCAATTCCCTGACAAGAGTCTATGCCTTTGGGGGTTCTGCTGAACCACACTGTGTTCTCTGAGAAATGCCCTCCACTAATTGATTACTTTAGTAGTATGTGGCTCTGTTTCCTTTAATTACTGTAGTAGTATGTGGCTCTGTTTCCTTTACCAAGCTGGTAGGCCTGGGACTATACCTTGATCCAGAAAGGCCAATCGAGAACGTGTGCACGGACAATCAGATTTTCTGTGAATTTGGAACTAAGATGGGAGATCATTCAAGGTGAATTCGCTAGACTTGTAAGGTCATGCACAAGAAGCTGGCCTGCAGAGAGAATGAAGCAGATGGTTCAAGATGTCTAGGCCTTCAACAGAGGGCCAATCAAGACTGGTTCCCGACTCACCATTCTCAGTACAAGGCCTGGCTGAATTTCCTGGGATTCGAGTACATGACTTATGCCTTTTACTAGGTAATTCCAATGATTCTGTTAGCCAAAAGATCCCTGACTAAGACACTGACTTTCTTTGGGGTGCCTGGGTGGCTCAGTTGGTTAGGTGGCTGCCTTTTAGGTCGGGTCATAATCCTGGAAACCCAGGATCGAGTCCTGTATCAGGCTCTGGGCTCAGCGGAGAGTCTGCTTCTCCCTCTGACCTCCGCCCCCACACCCCCACCATGCTCTCTTTCTCACTCATTCTGTCTCTCAAATAAATAAATAAAATCTTAAAAAAATTTTTTTACTTTCTTTGACTCCATGTCTTCTTACCCAAGGTCGCTCAGACCAGAGATACAGACCCAGAGCTCTGGCTTCCCTTGGAGTTCAGAGTTTGAATAGTGAATGTCCCAGGGGCAGCCCCATCCAGAATTCAACCCACAATTGGAAGGAGACCCAGCACCATCACTCCCCTGCTCCAGAACACCTGGTACCCAGAGATGCCCTCCCAGAGGCAGTAACAGTAATACCTACTCATTACTGATTACTCATCCTCTATCAGATGCTGTACCAAGTATTATTTCCAGTCCTCAAAAGAACATGAATTGGTTTTTTAAATTGGTTTTAAGTATTTTTACTATTATCTAACTTAAATATACATAGAGAACAAAAAGAGCATAAATTTCTCATGCTTATAAGCTTTTCTAGAAATAGAAAGCCAAAAACTTGCCAACCAAAACCATTAAAATTGATATAAACAGTTGAGGTCCAGCTGTTAGAGTCCTGAGCTGCCCCTTCACCACAGTGATAGCCCATCAATGGTCAGGGAAACGTCTTGAAAAATACTCATAACCTGGTACAGAGCAAGGGCTTGCTAAAGGTTTGTTGAATGAATGAATGACTGAATAGGTGAGTATGAAGATAGTTGTTTAAAAGACAGTCTGCTCTACCCCCAGACTGTGGAGAAGCCTGTAATTCAGCACTCACTATTTACCACTGCAGCCCTTGGCCCTTCCCTCCTTGTTACCCAGGAGCGAATCTAATGGCATTCACCATTCCACTCAGCCAGCATACCATTAAAAGCTTTTGTCCAGCCACTGTGCCCCCACCCCAGGTCTTGGCTCTGGGCCCTGGGCTCGGGGAGTGGTCTGGTTGTTTACCAGAAATTTGGACCTTCTTCAGAGAAAAGCACAGATGACCTATTAGTCTAATTCAAGCACTTAGCAAGGAATGACTGTACCATTCACACCCCCAGCCCCAGGCTAATGGAGCCAAAGCAAATGGAGAGGCTTTGCCAGCTCAAGAGATCTTCCTGGGAGGGGAAGAAGGGGAAGGTCTACCCAGCACCCTCACTGAAGTTTGCAGGGATGCAAGCTGGCCAAGCATTTCCTGGGGGCAGGGTGGGCTATGGGGGGCGGAGGATACAAGAACATTTAAGGAGAGGCTTCTCTATTTCACCTACCATTCTGACAACAACTACGCACATCCCACCCCCAGTCACCTCCTCACCACCTTAAAACTTGGTTGGGAGAAAAATGGGAAGACAGTCAAATATCCATCTGGTTAAATAAACCACATGCGAAGGAATACGCATCCACACAAGTCTGTGTTCCGCAGCTGATAAAAAGGGTGATGCAGTTCAAGCTCCACTTAGGCATGCTGAAAGGTATCTGTGCCTCACACAAGGATACCCCATTTACATAAAATTATACATACCCACCGATTCTCATGTGCACAGATATGCAGAGAGCATTTGGCAGTTTGTGGGTGGGATTTTAAAGATTTTACTTTCTTCTTTATAATTGTCTGTATCGTCCAAATCTACAAAAACCACTTACTATAATTGCTACCTTTTTTCAGTTCTTACTATGTGTCAGTCCCAATGCTTTCACATGGATTATCTCATTCCTTATGAACTGGGTTCTATGCTTTTTTGTGTTACAGATGTAGATAATGATGTCTAGAAAGGTTGAGCCTGAGGTCATACAGCTGGTAACTGACAAAGTCAAATGTTGTTGGAGAACCAAATGAATTAATACATGTAGTAGGGGCTCGATAAGTGAGGGTTATTATTATAATAACTCATCATACTACCTCCTTCTTCTTGTCTTGTCTACACCCCTGCTCTGGTATGTAAAAGACTTGAAAACAGGATCTGAATTATTACTTCAGAATCTCCTACATCCAGCACAGTGCCTGAGAGAAAGCCCTCGTGAGATGCTTATGGAAAAAATGAGTGAATGAATTAATAGGCAAACATTCACAGCTCTATAAATATATTTTCCCAACTACTTTGTTTCCTTATCCCAACAGGATTGCAAATGAGATCAAGGGCCAGTCTCTCCTTTCCTCTGGCCCCCATTATAGTCTGGAGCAAACAAAAAACGTGCTCCATAAATGCTTTGGTAGGCTAAGGACACTCCCCTCTTAGCTGCTGTGGCAAATCCCAGACAGTATTCTACAAATGGCTGGATCTGGGACAGATACAAAGTCAACAGCTTCCCCTAAGCTGTCTGTTCTTCCAACTCCATGTCAAGTACACAGAAAGGTTGAGAGACTTGCCGGAAGTCACACAGCTTCTGGTGGCAGGGTTGCTGTCTCACTTGGCCTCTACTCTTGTGTCCACAACACCCTTAATTCTGTATAAATTCACAATGTGAGAAAGTAGGAAAAGAGCAAAGTCTTTAAGTCAAATATTTAATCATGATGCAAGTGGCTGGGAGTACTTTGGGACAGGAACAGGAAGAAAGCCAGACCCAAATGCTCTGGCTCCTGATGCTCAAATGCTCTGCAGGATCCCCGTGAAGGGTAGGCAGCAGGTTCTCATCTCCTGCTGACAAAGGGGTAGGAGTCTTGCCCCAGCCTTCCTCACCATGGGGAATGTCTTTCTAGGTTCCCATCAGAACATCCAGCCCTGCCTACCTGGAGAATGCAATAGAGAATGACTGATTGGCTAGAGCCTGGGTGATTCTGGTGGGCAGAAGGAAGGGATTAGGAGAGAGCTTTGTAGAGGTGGTCTCCACCAGAAGATAGGACTAAACCATAGTCACCAAGTCCTAAGGAAGGGCAGCCTGAGTCAGAAGCAGAGGGATTGAGAACTCAGTCAGTTTCTACTATGACCCCATCTGGGAGTCAGCTGGATATGAGTGTGCAATCAGGGTCGCCATACTTTACTGCACCTCCTTCCTGATGCTGCTCTTTCCTTAGCCATTGAGGGTGCAGGTCAGGCTGGGTGTGGTAGAGAGCAGAGGGACCCAGAGGAAGTCCAGTTACCAGAGGCTCAGGAACAGAATCAAGGGAAGCATACAGAAGAAAAGAGAGGACACCCAGGGCTGTGGTCTCAGAGCAGGGTTTTTGTTCTGTAAAAGAAATGGAATGGAGTCAGCTCTACCCCATTCCTCACCTTGGCCTCAGTCAAGGCCTTGCCCCCTCCCCTAAGGTATCCATTAGAGGTCTATGGTATTCATGACCACAGTAAGGTCACACCCTCTATCCCCTTCTCTGGGTTTCCCTCAGGTAGTCCAGTAAAGATAAGACGTGTGCAATAGAGGAGGCCCTACCTGGCGTTCCATCACGGGAAAGGTGGAGTCTTCCCAGTCCTGAGAGAAGAGTTGGCTATGAAAACGCATCTTCGCTGCAATGGCCTCCACTGAGGAGAGGAGAGAAGGTAAAATGCAAGCAGGCAAATGACAGAAATTTCTTAGACTCCCATGGAAGGGACCCTGGCATATAGCAGGGCAGGGGGGAGTGGGCTATTTTCTCATTCTGCTTGCTTATTCCTTGATCTAGAGAGTGTCCCTGGGGCCAAGACAGATAGAACAGGAAGCTTGGGGGGTCACTCAGGGAATGGGAGAAGGAGGAAGGCCCAGATTGGAGGGATGTAAACCTATGCTGAGGAGGGTGCAGAAGATGTCTGCAGGAGATGGATGGAACCAGGGTTGACCACAGAGTTGACCCTTTTCCTCTCCCTGGATCCAGCTGACAGACCCATGGGGGCTGGAAGCAGATGAACACACTCACTGAGGCAGGGGTTGTGGGAGAAGGACTCTTCCAGCTGCTCGCACTCATCCTGCAGGTTGCCACTGCCTCGGCAAGTGCAACTTAAGGCAACACTGGTGTTGACATTGTTGACAAAGTTGGGAGTCATGGCAGTCCCTGTGGGGTGAAGAAAGGATTGTCAGGGCCTCGGCCAACCCAGACTCAACCCCCACTCTCTGACACCTGTCTCGGGACTGCTCCATCTGGGTTCAATCTCCAGAGCATTCTCACCCCCACGGCTGCCCACCCTGTGAGGTCCCTTCACGTGGCCCCCAGCCTCACCAATCAGCCCCATGTATGCTCGCAGACATCTGGAATGTTCTGTTGCACAGGTCCCTAAGATGTCCAGAGGATGGCAGTGGGTTTGAAAATCCACCAGGCGAGATCTGGAAGAAGGGAAATTTTAAGAGTCTTCATTGAAGGTCTGGCCTGCAGCCTTCCCCCTGGCAACCCCTTTAGCAGACATACCCATCTTCATGCCAAAGCCTCCTGTTTTCAGGGCCTGGCCCAGGGCTTCCCCCTCAGTGAAGCCTATTCCTGTCACAATAAAATGCACTATCACACCATTCCTCATAGCATACCGCTTTGAATATGGGCTCCATAATACCTAGCTATGAGATTTTAGACAGCTTCTTCTTCTTTTTTTTTTTTTTTAAGATTTTATTTATTTATCTGACAGACAGAGATCACAAGTAGGCAGAGAAGCAGGCAGAGAGGGAGGAGGAAGCAGGCTCCCTGCTGAGCAGAGAGCCCGATGCGGGGCTCGATCTCAGGACCCTATGATCATGACCTGAGCCGAAGGCAGAGGCTTTAACCCACTGAGCCACCCAGGCGCCCCTAGGCAGCTTCTTTAAACTTAGTTTTCTCAACTGTGAATAGAAATGAAAACAGGACTGGGGTGCCTGGGTGGCTTAGTTTGTTGAGCATCTGACTCTTAATTTTGGCTCAGGTGATGATCTCAGGGTCATGGGAACTAGCCCTGCATCAGGCAGTCTGCTCTTCCCTCTCCCTTTGCTCCTCCCCCATTCTCTCCCTCTCCCTGTCTCAAATAAAAAGTAAAATCCTTAAAAAAAAAAAATGAAAACAGTACTTCCTCATGGGTTTTTGTGAGGATGAAATAAGAGATTGCATATACAGCATTTAGCATAGTGATTGGTACATACCAAGTGTTCATTAAATGTCAGATATTGGGGCGCCTGGGTGGCTCAGCGGGTTAAAGCCTCTGCCTTCCACTCAGGTCATGATCCCAGGGTCCTGGGATGGAGCCCCTCATGGAGCCCCACATGGAGCCCCACATCTAGCCCCCCCCCGACCCCCGCATTGCATTGGGCTCTCTGCTCAGCAGGGAACCTGCTTCCCTTCCTCTCTCTGCTTGCCTCTCTGCCTACTTGTGATCTCTGTCTGTCAAATAAATAATAAATAAAATCTTTTTTAAAAATGTCAAATATTGTTATTATTCACATAGATCCTATGATAGGTAAAGCTGGTTATCTTCAGGTGATAGAATTGTGTGTTTTTTTCTGTACATACTTCTGTGATTTTCTTTACATTTTGCCTGGTTTATTTCTACGTCACTCCCACCCAAATGCAAATTCCTTGAAGGAAGGGACGGCTTCTTAGTCATCTAGCCCAGCACTTGCTACATAGTTAGCACAAGAGGCGGTGAAGCTGAACATTAGGCCGACTTCACTCCAAACCTCCTGACTTACTACCTAGATGAACCTCAACAAGCTGTGTAAACTTTCTCTGCTCCGGTTGCTTCTTTGTCAAGTGAAGATGATAGAAAAAAACAATACCATCTATCTTACAGGGTTCTTGACAGTTTACATGAGTTAATACATAGTAAGCACCTCAAACAGCCCCTAGCCCCTAGTAAGTCCTCAGTAAGTGATGGTGTAACGATGATTGAGAGCTTTTGTGTAATATTTTAGAGAAGAAGGAAGTGGGGCTCAGAGACATTAGGCTCAAGGTTACAGAGAAATAAGGGTTAGAACCAGGCTGCAAAACAAGGTTGGGGTGACTCTCGTTGTCAGCAAATGCTACTTAAATGGATGATAACTTCAGTATGATGAGTGTTTTATCCTGAAGAGGCAGAGGAAAGCCAGATCAGAATTTCTGGAGAATATGTATCAAACATCTTACAAATCGTCATGTACTCTGATTTGGTACTGGCATTTGTAGCAACATGTCCTAAGTAATAATTAGATTTGTGCACAAAAATGAACAAGGGTGATATTTATTGTAGCATTATTTATAGCAATAAAGAAATCAATCTAAATTCCAGCAATAGAGGAAGGATTAAACAAAGTATGGGGCATCCATAAAATGGAATACAATGCAGGCATTTAAAAATCAAGTTGTCCAAGGATAGTAAAAGACAAAATAAGCACCACCATTTATTGAGCACTTACCCTGCATAAATTATGCAATTTAACTCTCACCAGAATCCCGTGAGATCTGTATTATTATCCCACTTTTTACAGAGGACTAAGAGGAACGCTAGGTTAAGTGATGGAGTTTTAGGTTCAAGTGATGGGCTCAAAGTCACACAGCCCCAGGTTTTAAATTCAGATCTGACTCTGGAGCCTGTGGGCACCACTATCCCATACTGCTTCCACAGAAAAATGCCCATGAGATATACACATAAATTAAAAAAAAAAAAGAGGTACAAATATATTTCTAGAATATTGTTTTGTTTATCTGTATACAAAAAAGGCTGGAAGGAAACCCTCCCCAAAGGATGTAGATCAGCTTCAGGTGATGGATTTTGAGGGCGCTTTTATATTTTTTATATTTTCCGAACTTTTTACACAAAGGTTTTTTTGGTGTTTTTTGTTCTTGTTTTTTATTTTTGCTTTTTTGTTTTTTGTTTTTGAGAAAAGGGTTTCAGGAAATACTGAAGGGAACTACGGGGTGAAGTCTTTCCACGGTCTCTGGGCAGCAAACCCAACCCCGCCCAGAAAGGTAGCCAGCTGGCCAGGAGCGGTGTGCACGGTGCCCTCGCCCACCCTGCCCGCCCACACCTGGCACCAGCACCTGCACAGCGGGTCAGAGATGCAGACGCGCCGCAGCTCCAAGCAGTTGGGGGCCCCTGACGGCAGCGCGCAGCTGGGAGCGATGGTGTTGCGCCTGCGTTGCCCGCAGCCCTGGTCGGCCGGTGCGCACGGGCACAGCAGCAGGCCCTGAGAGTGGGGCTCCGACGCCTTCTCAAAGAAGGCGCGGAGCTGCCGGAGGCAGGTGGGGCGTTGGCAGCGGGACCCCGAGCACGCCTCCCCATAGGCCTTGCGCAGCCGGTCACACTTGTCATTAAGAGTGCACAGCATGGCGAATTTGAGGCAGAGGTCTGAGTCTGGGGGGAGAAGGGCACCAAGTCACCAGTCGTCCCTGCAAACGTGCAGCCCAGTTTTGCTAGGAACCCCTGCAACCCTCCGATTTAACAAGGACAGTGCTGGGGATAGGAGGAAAGCGAGGACTATCCCGAATACGACCACTACTAATCCACGGCTTTCCCCCTACCCATAAACTATATCTGGTATTTGTGAGCTTTCCCCATCTTATTCCTCAGCTTGCCTAGGTATAATAGTAATAATAATAATAATAATAATAATAATAATAATAATAAATAAAAGGAATAGAAGCTATCTATTTATCTATTACACTTACTTATCTAGAATTGAAGCAGCCAGAAAGCTCACCTGAAACTCCTTTCTCAGTCCCATGCAGTGAGTGAAGACATCTCACGGTGGAAACCATTATCTAGAGATCCCATAACATTATAAAGCACTTTCTGAACCACAGAAACAGATGCAACCAAATTCTATTTAGAATTTTTGTTTTGTTTTGCATCTATTTTGCCCAGTTTTAATAACACCTGTCTGTCTTTAATGATTGATACATGCATAAAAGCTCCCCATAATTCTGAGTCTTGGGAAATTATGGTCCTATTACTCTAACAGCAATTCTAGCAGTCAGAACAATGGGGTGACTGGAACAGGTTATTCCCAGATTCCTTGTAACTAAGAGTTTATGTATAAATCTCTATGCTTTTCTCTGAAAATTCTATTTCTGATATATAGGACTGAATGTACAACAAAGCTCACATCCTTCTCAAAAAGCAAGTGCATGCGTGTGTGCTCCTCCTTTCCAATTAACACAACAGCCCCACTTTCCTGAAAATCATGCGTTTTAGTCCTTGCTAGACAGACGGCTCCCACCCGGAGTCACCCCTGAGGAGTCACATTCTCTCTCACCATTTTCCCTGCCCAACACCTCACCCATCCCATTAGAATGGTTTGAAAACAAGCAATTTCCTAGTCTTCAGGGACAAAAAGCTACTTTCCTGGAATAAGGGCAAATACTTCACTTCAGCATATTTTTTCTGGGCCTGCTGCCACTCCATCAAACCCTTTGTAGAGACCCATCTTTTAGAACCCAGGAGCCCTAATGGCCTCCCTTCAAATGCAGCTGTAATACCTATTGCTCTTTGTTGACTCATAAGATCACAGCATGCCCCCATCCTGACAAAATGCTTCTTTAGTTATCTGGCAGACTAGAACTCTCCCCCAACTCACCCTCTGGCTTGTGTTCCCCACCAGCAACCCTTCCTCTAGGGTCCAGGCCCACCCCTCATGCCCCAGCCCCAGCTTGCTGTCCACACCTGGTTTGAGCATGTTCAGTTTGCTGAGATTCATTTTCCAGGGTTTTCTGGTCACTGCGTCTTCATAGGGGGAAACATCCAGTTCAAAGTCACCTAGAGACAAGGTGACAAGAATCCTGAGGACTGGGCTGGGGGGTGGGAGCAGGAGGGACTGGGCCTGCTGGGTCAGCCCTCAAAGCCCTGTGGAAAAAAGGAAAAGCACAGTCTCTACCTAACTAGTTGCAAGCTGTTTAGAGGTGAGGAAAAAAGCAAGACCATAAAGGTAGAGGCCGGGCTCAGTGAATTCACTGGGTTTAATGATAATAATAAAGCTACTATTTGTTGAGTACACTGTGCACTGGGCACCACGGCATCAGTGAAAAAGAAGAAAAAAATTCAATCTCAGTCCTCCTAGCTGCCTTTGGGTAGAAAAGAAGAAAGAGGCTGAGAGAGGTTAAGTCACTGGCTCAGGCTCACAGAGGCTAAAAAGTGGAGCTGGGACTTGAAACCTGGACTGATACCAGAGTTTCCACTCCTAACCACTACACATATGGCCTGTGCGTACATAAGTAGGCAAGGGGATTCTGTCTTGTTTTCTCTTACTGTTGAGGAAGGAGCTATAGTAGACTCTGTTCTAGGCCTGACCATGTACCTATGGAGATGTATCACACACCGAGGAAGTGGAAGTGAGGCTGGATCCCAAATTGAACCTGAATGAGAAAAGCAGAGAACTCTGGAAGAGACAATGCTCTCAAAGGAAACATACTTTTCCCAGTCACACTCAGGGTGCTGTGGGCTCCTTAAGGGGACATAATAGGTCTTATAAAGTCACTGCATAACTCATACACGTGGTAGGTACTCAGTAAATGTTGGCTAATTAATCTTGTTGGAAGATAGAGGTGAGAGAGTGCAAGGGGTCACCCAAATTGCCTTTGAGAATGCATCTTTAGGAGGGAAGAAATATGGATGATGTCAAGCAAATTGGAAAGGATGGTCTGGATATTTGGGAAGACCTGAGAGCTCCCAAGGGAAAATTCAGGAAGGCAAAAGTATCCAGGGAGAAGTCTTCCCCAGAGATTTTATTTATTTATTTGACAGAAAGAGAGAGATCACAAGTAGGCAGAGGGGTGGGGAAGCAGGCTCCCTGCTGAGCAGAGAGCTGATGTGGGGCTCGATCCCAAGATCCTGAGATCATGACCTGAGCCAAAGGCAGAGACTTAACCCACTAAGCCACCCTCTGGGGAAGTTCTGAAAGAGAACCAATTAGCACGAGTGGAAGACAAGGAACAAAAAGTATGGTAAACTGGGGTGCCTGGGTGGCTCAGTGGGTTAAAGCCTCTGCCTTCGGCTCAGGTCATAATCTCAGGGTCCTGGGATCAAGCCCCGCATCAGGCTCTCTGCCCAGCGGGAGCCTGCTTCCCCACCCCCCTGCCTACTTGTGATCTCTTTCTGTCAAATAAATAAATAAAATCTTTAAAAAATATATGGTAAATTTATTACTATTTCCAGTTATATGCTGGCTACCTACCCAGTGAGAGGACTGTACACCATGGCCTTCCCACCCCCTTGCCATGTGACTTTCAGGCTCTCTATAAGAGTATACCTCCATACCCTACTGTAAGGGTTACCCATGTGACTTGCTTTAGTCTGTGGATTGTGAGCTGAAGTGACATAAATCACATCTGAGCTGGCATTTTAAGAACCATCACATTGTCCTGCTGCTTGTTTTTTTCCCTCTACCAGTCTGGGTCCTAGAAAGAAGAAGACAGGTAGAGAAAAGACAAAGCTAACTCAAGGAACCCCACAGCAGATATATAACATGAGCAAAAATGAAAATTTTGTTGTGGAAGGCCATATATGTGGGGATTGATTGGTTTTTATTGCAGCATAAACTAACAAATTCTTATTAAAAACATAACTGGTGGGGCACCTGGGTGACTCAGTGGGTTAAGCCTCTGCCTTCAGCTCAGGTCATGATCCCGTGGTCCTGGGATCAAGCCCCACATTGGGCTCTCTGCCTAGCAGGTAGCCTGCTTCCCCTCCGCCACCTCTGCCTGCCTCTCTGCTTGTGATCTCTGTCAAATAAATAAATAAAATCTTAAAAAAAAAAGTAACTGGTATCTAGAAGTGAGTACGGCAGTAACAACAAAAAACCTAAAATGTGTGGTTTGGGTGTTGGACTGGGCAGTGAGGGATGGTGAACAAGCTGTTTCAGGGGTATGAAATATGCAGGGGCAATGCATTTGGTAAAATTGTTGCCTGCAATAACCTGGAAGAAAGATGTACTGAATGAGATTGTGCTTTATGGAAAAGAAGCTGAGAACCAGAAGTTTCTAGTATGTCTTGATTGCTATTGCCTGCATTTTGCAAGGTACTACAAGAAAGATAAAAGATCAGAGAAGTGACCAGTTTGCAAATAGGGAGCAAAAAGAAAAACAATCCAGAAATTTGAGGATTTGTAGGATTAAGAGATGCAACTGCTTTTGCATACTTTTTATTCAAATAGTAAAAGATAAAATTGAGAGATGCTTTGAGTAATAAGGTTGATTACAACTCAGCCTTAGGGCAAAGACTAATTCAATGATACAGCTATCATGCTCTTTGTGGAGATCTCTCAATGATTAAGATGGTATCAATAAATCCTGCCAGTTAGACAAATATGTTTGGAGAAAAAAGACTAGGGTAGTCGCTCTCCCACAGAAGCCTGGTAAGAACAAAAATGCTTCTAATGAGGTCTAGAAAGAGACACATCTTGAAAAGAATTATTGGAAAGGCTACTAGCACATGAGGTGACAGAAACCAAAGATATAGAAAGCAATTAAGTTTTGAGAGAGCTGTATTGCTAAAAGCCACCAGCCTGGATTCAAACAGATTCTACTGGAGGCTTAAAAGTCCCATCATTCCTCAGGTAGCAAGCAAGCAAGCGGAAAATGATGTTCACTCCTCAAGGAGTTGGGAGCCTCCACAATCCTTCTCAGACATGGCCAAAGAAAATAATGGGAAAGGAAGGACCTGCCAGGGGTAGGGGGGGCTGGGCCAAGAGTCCTGGAGAACAATAGATAAAGCAATTCTTCTAAGGAACAAAAGCAGATCCTTATTAAAGAGTAGTGCCCACTACCAAGAGAAGATGGCCCTTACAATGGTTATGTGGTGGGACATCAGAACCACTATGAAGCAATGGCTGCTGTGTGCGTCCCTTTCCTCCACTTCCTGAGAGTGTTTGCTGTGGTTCTCCCATCCCTGCTCCACTGTTATATTCAGAGTACATACTGGAGGCAGATGACCTGTCCTCTTTGTCCATAGGTAGCTAGATCAAGAGGAGTCATATCCAGACCTGACAGAAATTTTCCCAAGATCCTAGACTGGGAGCCTGATATACTGTTTGGCTAGAACCCTTAGGGTATCTTCCTTAGAAAGTGGGTTGATGGGGCACCTGGGTGGCTCAGTGGGTTAAAGCCTCTGCCTTCGGCTCAGGTCGTGATCCCAGGTCCTGGGATCGAGCCCCACTCTCTGCTCTGCGGGGAGCCTGCTTCCTCCTCTCTCTCTCTCTCAGCCTGCCTCTCTGCCTACTTGTGATCTCTGTCAAATAAATAAATAAAATCTTAAAAAAAAAAAAAGTGGGTTGATATGCATCTGACTGGCTCAGTTGGAAAAGCACGCAACTCTCTTGATCTGGGGTCGTGAGTTCAAGCCCCATGTTTGGTGTAGAGATTACTTAAGGATAAATCTGAAAGAAAGAAAAGAAAAGAAGGAAGGAGGTTAATACATTTTGCTTGTGGAAGAGAAATGAGTATTTTAACCAAATAGTGAACTATGGTAGATTGTATAGTACTTTGTATATTACTTTGCCCTCCCTGTAAGATTATACATCCTCACTTATTGCCAGGTGATTTTCAGGGTCTCTTGTGGGAGTATACTTCCCCCTCACCAGGGAGGTCAGGCTTGGCTATGGGATCTGCTTTGTTCATGGAATGTGAGCATAAGTATTTCATGTAACGTCTAAGTAGAAGCTTTTAAAGACATCAAGCGATTCTGTCATTACTTATTTCCCTCTGCCGTAAGAAAAGAACTTCCCGGACGGAGGCTGTACCTTCAACCTGGATTTGAAAATGAAGAGGACAGATGACACAGCCAACACAGAATATGAGCGAGAACTAAACCTTTGTTTTACAAGTCACTGTTCTGTTATTGCGGTGTAGTCCAGTAAAAGTGGACTAATACAAAAAGCTGTCTCTGGAAAGAGTCAGAGGAAGGTCCTCTCTCTTTGGCTATTCCAGTGTCTTCTCTCTAACTGCCTTCTGTCTGGTTAATGAGTATCCTTTCTGTTAAAGGCAGGAGCAGGACACTGCCCACCCCCTAACCTCTCAGAACTTATGGATTATGTTTTATTTGGAATCTCTGAATGGGTTAAGACCATTTTCCTCCATGTCCTGTCCACACCCTTCTGCTCCATGAATTGCCCAGGTTGGGCCTCAGCCTGGTTCAGAGTTCTGCCAAGAGGCAGCTACATGTGACCAGGTAAGAAAGAGGGAAGAAGGGAGAAGAGAGGGCAGTGTTGTAGGTACCCAGAAGGATACTGCCAATTCCTCCCTCTACTTCTTACTGATGTTAAATGCAGAGCTTCATTACCATCCTAGTCAGAGTCTACCCATCCTGCCTATATTCTGCAAGATTAAATGACAACCCATGAGAGCCATCTTCCTTAACTTAGTTCATTCTATGATGGGGACCTCACCAAGGCTGCGGGCAAGGTGAACGGTCCAGTAGATGTCCAGGCAGGCAACTTGGTTCTTCATGCGGCGGTGGCATGTGCAGCTCATCAGAGAGCTATTCCTCAGGTGCTGTGCTGCCTCCCTGCACTCCTCAGGGACCAAAAGCTCCTGTGCGGGTGATGGGGTGCTTACACTAGAGGTGCAGGAATTCAGGTGGTGGTAGGCAGCACTGCAAATAGGATCAACCTGGCACTTCCTCCTGGCCTGGATACAGTTGTTCATCAGCCGGCCCTCAGTAGGAAGGGGGTCTGTTGTGGAGGAAGAGAGACCAGGTGAGACGAACATGAGGTCAGAGTAGCTGACCAGGATTAACAAGTTGCAAGGTAGGGTAGGGAGGATTCAAGACAAAACCTTGGGCAGGGGACGCCTGGGTGGCTCTGTTGGTTGAATATCTGCCTTAGACTCAGATCATGATCCCAGGGTCCTCAGATCAAGTCCCACATTGGGCTCCCTGCTGGGCAAGGAGCCTGCTTCTCCCTCTGCCTGCCACTCTCCCTGCTTGTGCTCTCACTCTCTTTCTTTCTCTCAGACAAATAAATGAATAAAATCTTAAAACACACACACACAAAAACTCTTGGACAGGAAAGTCTTAGGGTGACACAGAAGCCTTTAGGAAGAAATGGGGAGAAAAGTCTAGCAGAAGTCAAGAATCTGTAGCTATCACAATTTGGACAGAACAGATCAGATCCAAGAAGAAGTGGTATGAAGAAAGGCTCCTGGGAGAAGGAGGGGGATTTATTTGAAGCTGAGCCCGGTGACCCTGCCAGGCACAGGGAAGAGGACCCTGGCAGAGCAATGCATGGGCAGGGTTAGTATCATAACCAGAGTTGACAAATGTGCTTGGGAGTGACAGTTAACAACTCTGAAGCTTCCATTGAAAGTCACTTAAAAATATCTTCCAGGGGGAATGGGTTAGTGTTGGAGTTGGGGAGCTTTTATTGATTCTGTCACTCAAGAATACTAAGGCTGGTTATAGTTCAGCCCTCATGGAAGACCCTACAACCTAGGACTTAGTGTCCCTATCAAAGGGTACCAGAATGCCATTATGTCATCAGTTTTGCAAGGTTAAACTTCTAGGAGTCATTTTTAATTCTTCTCTTTCCTGTTCAATCAAACAAGTCCTAACAACTCCACAATATATCAGGAAACTGTCCACTTCTCTCCACATCTATCACCACCTCCTTAGCTCAAACTACCATCAATTCCTGTCTGAACTACTTCCAAGACTCTTTTTTTTTAAATTTTATTTATTTATTTGACCGACAGAGACCACAAGTAGGCAGAAAGGCAGAGAGAGAGGGGGAAGCAGGCTCCCCGCTGAGCAGAGAGCCTGATGCGGGGCTCGATCCCAGGACCTTGAGATCATGACCTGAGCCTAAGGCAGAGGCTTAACCCATTAAGCCACCCAGGCGCCACCTTCCAAGACTCTTTATTGGTCTCCCTGTCCATCTTCCAAATTTATTCTCCCATACCATTCAGCTATTTTTTGTTTTGTTTTGCAGCTTTATCGAGATGTGATTGATATTGTGTAAGCTTTAGGTGTGCAATGTGATGATTTGATTCATGTACATATTGTGAAGTGATCAACCCAATAAGATTGGTTAATACATCCTTCACCTCATGTAACTACCATTTTGTTGTTTGCAGCCACCTTTTTGAATGACAATTTTTTAGGTTGGAAACCACTTTCAGTGAAATTCATGCAACATAAAATTAACAAGATTAAAGGGTATAACTGACATTCAGTACATTCACAATGTTGTACAACCATCACATCTATCCAACTCCAATATATTCTTGTTATCCCAAAAGGAAACCCATACCCATGAAACAGTCACTCTACATTTCCCTCCCCTTAGTCTCTGGCAACCACCAATCCTAACTTCTGTCTCTACAGATTTACCCATTTCTAGATATTTCATACAAATGGAATCATAAAATAGGTCATCTTTTATATCTGGCTCTTTTACCTAACATACTGCTTTTTGTGGTTCATCCACATGGTAGCATATACCAGAACTTCATTTTTTACAGATGAAATAATATTTCACTGTATGGATAGCCCATGTTTTGTTTATCTATACACCAGTTGATGGACATTTGGGTTGTTTCCAGGCTTTGGTTATTGTGAACAGGGCTTCTCTGAACATTCATGTAAAAGTATTTGCTCGAATTCCTGTATAAAATTCTTCTAGGTATATATTTACCAGTGGAATTGCTGGGTCATATGGTAATTCTGTTTAACTTTTTGAGGAACCACCCAGTTGTTTTCCACAGTGGTTGCACCATTTGTCATTCCTATTAGCATTGTACAAATGTTCCAATTTCTCCACAAACTTGTCAACTCTTGTTATTTTCTGTTTTGTGTTTTCTTCTAACCAGCCATCCTTACAGGTATGAGGTGGAATATTATTGTGGTTTTCATTTGGATTTCCCTAAAGACTTATGATGTTGAGCATATTTTGTGCATTTTGTCATTTGTATATCATGTTTGGTAATAATTTTTCATTGAAGTACAACATAGAGAAACATGCACTAATCAAAATGTTCAGTATAATGAATTTCAAATTGAATATACTGTGGAACCAAACCTCAGATAAAGAACCAGAACGTTAAAAGTACCCGAGATGCCCTCTGCCAGTCACCAACCCCTCTGAAGGAAACCAATTCAATGGCTTGATTTCTAACATTAGAGATTAGTTTTGTCTGTTTTTCCATCATACAATATGTGCTTTTGGTGTCTTGGTTTCTTTTGCTCAATATTAAGCTTAGTTCACCCACACTTTTTTTTTTAAAGATTTAATTTATTTATTTACTTGAGGGGAAGAGAGAGACAGTGCACACACACAAGCAGGGGGAGTGGCAGGCAAAGGGAGAAGCAGGCTCCCTACTGCGCAAGGAGCCCCGATGTGGGACTCAATCCTAGGACCCTGGGATCATGACCTGAAGGCAGAGGCTTAACTGATTGAGCCACACAGGCGTCCTCACACACACTATTAAGTATGGTTTTAACTACCTTATTTTTATTTTTCTTACTGTATATCATTCCATTGTGTGAATATAACATAATTCTAATGGCAATTGGCATTATATGGGATCATCTCTTAAATACTACAAATGAGATCATTTCATTTCTCTGCTTAAATTCTTCCAACAGTTCCCATGCACTTACCTCCTAGCCCTCTCTTCCTCTCCCACTTCCTTCCACCCACACCAGCCTTCTTTCTGTTGCCATTGAACCAGACAAGCTTGTGTCAACCTTAGTGTTTTTTCCATAGCCTTTCTTTCTGCTTGGAATGCTCTTCTCCCAATCTTCATGTGGCTGGCCCTTTCTGGTAATTCACTTTTCAGCCTAAATGTCACCACAGAAAGACCATCTCTAACAAACCAATGTAAAATAACCCCCAAGCTACTCTACTACGTCATTACTCCAAAACTCTGCATAGCACTTTCATCACTTGATCTTTTTTTTTTTTTAAAGATTTTATTTATTTATTTGACAGAGAGAGATCACAAGCAGGCAGAGAAGCAGGCAGAGAGATAGGAGGAAGCAGGCTCCCTGCTGAGCAGAGAGCCGGATTCGGGGCTCCATCCCAGGACCCTGGGATCATGACCTGAGCCTAAGGCAGAGGCTTTAACCCACTGAGCCACCCAGGCGCCCCATCACTTGATCTTTTTAATTTGAGTTTTTATTGATTATCTCTGTCTCCACTTCCACATGTATCTTATCACTACTCTGTTGTGAGTGCCTAGTACAGTGCTTGTTTTTTTTATGAGTTCCTACTATTTAAGAGATAACCAAATAACAGAGTAATTCTGTGAGCCACCTCTGTAACTTCTCTGAACGCCTTCCCTCTAGTTAGAATCAAAGTGCCAGGGCACCTGGGTGGCTCAGTCGGTTAAGCATTTGCCTTTAGCTTATGGGTCCTGGGATCGAGCCCCATATCGGGCTCCCTGCTGGGTTCGAGGAGCCTGCTTCTCCCTCTCCTCTCCCTCTGCCCCTCCCCATTGCTTGTGTCCCCACCCAAATGAATAAATAAAATACTAAAGAAAAAAAAAACACAGCAAAGTACCAAAATTAGGAGGAGCCTGAGTTTAGTTAGTTCAACCTTCTTTTACAATCAAATAATCAAGTAGATTACTTATTAAAATGCAGATTTCTGGGGTGCTTGGTTGGCTCAGTTGGTTAAGCAACTGCCTTCAGCTCAGGTCATGATCCCAGAGCGGGATCAAGTTCTGTGTCAGGCACCAGTCCCGCAACAGGCTCCCAGCTCCACAAGGAGTCTGCTTCTCCCTCTGACTTTCTCTCCTCTCATGCTCTCTCTCACTGTCTCTCTCTCTCTAAATAAGAAAATAAATAAAATCTTTTTAAAAAATGCAGATTTCTGACCTCATCCCAGAACTATTGAATCAGAGTCTCTGGTGATAATGCCTAGGAATCTGAGTTTTACCAAGTTCACTGGAAAATAGGACGCACCCTAAGAACTGGTCATACCCAATGCACAAACAAAAGCAGTATCAGTAGTATTGATCACACCTTTTGCTTCAGGATCTAATAAGCTTCAGAATGGCATTATCACTCTTTATTTAAATTTTTTATATTTCGCTCACCATGGATTTTGGGGGGAGCGTTGATTTTGATTTTTAGTGTAAGTGCTGCTGAAGCGAGCACTGATTTTGATTTTTTAAAAATTTTTTTAAAGATTTTATTTATTTATTTGAGAAAGAGAGCGAGAATGAGAGAGAAAGAGCATGAGAGGGGAGAAGCAGGCTCCTCGCCGAGCAGGGAGCCTGATGCAGGACTCGATCCTGAGACTCCAGGATCATGACCTGAGCTGAAGGCAGTTGTTTAAAATTTTTTAAATTTAAAAAAATTTTGATTTTTTAAAAATACTACACTGAAGGGCACCTGGCTGGCTCAGTTGGTGGAGCCCCATGTTGGACCCAGAGATTACTTAAAAAAAAAAAAACCAACCTGAAATATACTTAAAAAAATACTGCACTGGGGCTCCTGGGTGGCTCAGTGGGTTAAAGCCTCTGCCTTCAGCTCAGGTCATGATCCCAGGGTCCTGGGATCGAGCCCCACATTGGGCTCTCTGCTCAGCAGGGAGCCTGCTTCCCTCTCTCTCTCTGCCTGCCTCTCTGCCTACTTGTGATCTCTGTCTGTCAAATAAATAAATAAAATCTTAAAAAAAAAAAAAACTGCATTACTGGCGCCTGGGTGGCTCAGTGGGTTAAAACCTCTGCCTTCAGCTCAGGTCATGATCTCAGTGTCCTGGGATTGAGCCCTGCATCGGGCTCTCTGTTCAGCGGGGAGCCTGCTTCCCCCTCTCTCTCTGCCTGCCTCTCTGCCTACTTGTAATCTCTGTCTGTCAAATGAATAAAATCTTTAAAAAATAAATAAATAAATAAATACTGCATTAAAATATTTTTTATCTTGACTACTGTTTCTTGGCACACCCCCCTTCACTCATTCACCTTAGTCCCAGTTCTGCCTTCACTTTCTTTCTTTCTTTTTTAAGATTTTGTTCATTTATTTGACAGACAGAGATCACAAGCAGGCAGAGAGGCAGGCAGAGAGAGAGAGAGAGAGGAGGAAGCAGGCTCCCTGCCAAGCAGAGAGCCCGATGTGGGGCTCGATCCCAGGACCCCGGGATCATGACCTGAGCCCAGGCAGAGGCTTTAACTCACTGAGCCACCCAGGCACCCCATGCCTTCACTTTCTGAACTTTAGTTGCCCAAATGTAAGGTAAGGAGTTTGGATTAAACCATTGTTTCTCAAAGGAGGGAAGAGATGCATTAGGCCCCTTTAAGGGGTATATCAGAATTTACAAAGGTAATGCTTGGTTCAAAAAAGTATATTTGAGGGCGCCTGGGTGGCTCAGTGGGTTAAGCCGCTGCCTTTGGCTCAGGTCATGATCTCAGGGTCCTGGGATCGAGTCCCACATCGGGCTCTCTGCTCAGCGGGGAGCCTGCTTCCCTCTCACTCTCTCTGCCTGCCTCTCTGCCTACTTGTGATCGCTCTCTGTCAAATAAATAAATAAAATCTTTAAAAAAAAAGTATATTTGATCATTACGTATGTGGAAGATGAAAAAAGCTTTTATTTTATTTTTATTTTTTAATTTTTTTTATTTTTTAAAGATTTATTTAGTTATTTATTTGACAGAGAGAGATCACAAGTAGGCAGAGAGGCAGGCAGAGAGAGAGAGAGAGAGAGGAGGAAGCAGGCTCCCCGCCGAGCAGAGAGCCCGATGCGGGGCTCAATCCCAAGACCCTGGAATCATGACCTGAGCCGAAGGCAGAGGCTTTAACCCACTGAGCCACCCAGGCGCCCCGAAAAAAGCTTTTAAATTTCAAAAAAAATTTAGGGAAGGCATAAGATATTTATCTTTACCGAAAGGGAAACAGGGATTTAAGCAGTTTGAGAAATACTAAATGTTTAAGAGGTTACTTCTGGTAGGTATCCAGTAAGTGCCTAACGAAAGAGATGTAACAAGTCTAAGTCTCATTGCTAAAACTGAACTAAAGGGGTGCCTGGGTGGCTCAGTGGGTTAAAGCCTCTGCCTTCAACTCAGGTCATGATCCCAGAGTCCTGGGATCCAGCCCCGCATCAGGCTCTCTGCTCAGCAGGGAGCCTGCTTCCCTCTCTCTCTCTGCCTGCCTCTCTGCCTACCTGTGATCTCTGTCTGTCAAATAAACAAATAAAATCTTTTAAAAAAATAAAATAAAACTGGACTAAATATTGAGTCACAACAATTGTCAGAAGTAAATCTCTCCTATTTCATAGCTGATGGTTCACTGAGTCTGAACAGAGGTGGACTTAGGAGCAATCACAGCTCAACAAAAGAAAAGTAGGGGCAATGTTAAATTTCATCATAACAAGGGGGAACTTGCTACATTTAACTGATTAATTAGGAAGGTGTTTAATGTTTACCCTGATCTTGATGTGCAGCTATACCGTTAGGGTTAGTGAAATTTTCTGGGAAGTCAAATCAGACTGGTGATACCTTGCTGCCCTGATTTACTGATGGAGTCAATCTGGACAAACCAGCTCTTTCCCTCTCTTCTTCCATACGTGTCTTGCAGTCAAGATTGTATTCCTCCAGTACTACTTTATGGCCCTAGCTGATGGGCCCATGTGTGATCCCTGCCTCAGGATTTCCCCCACTCGGGTTCTATGCAAGAGTCCCACAATAAGATTCCATGCATGCATCCCACTCCCAAAGTTCATGGGCATGTTCCCTGGGATCATGGATCCCAGGCTACCATTGTCCGGGGAATGACATGGTCCTAAAACCAGACCTTGAACTATATATTCCACAAAATACCTATTGTGTATCTATAATAGGGCAAGGGACTGTGCTGAGCCATCTTCCCCCGTAGCAAGTCTTCTGCTCCAATTAAAACAATAAAAATATGTCCTGAAAGAGTGGGGGGTGGAGGTAGGTTAGTGACAAGAAATATTCTCAAATAATGTTAGCAAGTTCTAGCAGCAGTTTACAACCCTAATTTGTGAGAAGTCAGTTCAAACAAAAACTTCTCTTTCTTCATCTGTACCTAGAGCCCACTTCCCCAGTCCTTACAGGGAGTGGAAGACTTGAAGCCAGTGAGGAGCAAATGGCAGTCCTGCTTCTGATTCTTCCCGCCTTCTAGAGATGCTGTCGTGGAAGTGGCCTGGCTGCAACTGTTCTATGTCTGTGCAGACGCACCTCAAAAGAGGGACGAGGCCGGACTGGGTGGTGGGGGGATGGGGAAACGGGAGATGCTTGGGTGTCCGGCCATGGCTGGCATTCAATCTATAATAGTTCAAAAATTGTATTACGCATTCAAGGCACCCCCTTCCTAGCACCCTGGGAGTCCTTCCTCCGACAGATGGACACCTGTGACCAGCGCCCCTCCTATGCTCCCCTCTCCTCCCCCTAACGCCGCGGCCGGAACCGGCCGGTGGACGCACAGACGACACTCACCGGCTCGGAGCCGCAGAGATACCAGCAGCAGGAGCAGGAACGCGGGCGGCAGTGCTCGCGGGTTTGAAGGACGCGCCATGGCTCGGTCCTCACGCCAGCCGTCCGCGTCCGAGACGCTGTGCCAGCGCCGGGCGCCGCGCTTTCCTCGCTCCTCGCCCAGAGGTTCTGCGATCCGAGCTCCTCCAACGTCGCCTCCCGCCCTTCCTCCCGCGCAGCGCCGACACTCTCCCACCAGGGTCCTGGGCGCCGCCCTCCAACTCCGAAGCGCTCCGACGCACCACAACGCCGCTTCTACTCTAGGCAGAGGGCCGCGGGGGTGGGGATGAACGAGGTCAGGTGCCCCGGCGACCGCGTGCAAGAGGGTGCTCTACCCGAGCCCACCTGCGCGCCGCTGCCCACTTCCCTTAGAGAATTCCGCCCAAGACAATTGCGGCAGCTGCCTCCGGAGAGTCCCCATCTCGTGGGCCCAAGTATTTATCAAGAAAAGCACCATTTCTCACTTGGGCCCAAGTATTTATCAAGAAAAGCACCATTTCTCACTCCCCACCCCCTCCAGGAACAAGTGAAATCTTGTAGCAAAAGCTGAGCAAGTCAGCATAAGGGCAGTTCCACTTCTAGTATTTATTTTTCGTCTTAGAATTTGCACATCCAGGGACGCCTGGGTGGCTCAGTTGGTCGGCTCAGGTCATGATCCTGGAGTCCCAGGATCGAGTCCCGCATCGGGCTCCCAGCTCCATGGGGAGCCTGCTTCTCTCTCTGACCTTCTCCTCGCTCATGCTCTCACTCAAATAAATAAAATCTTAAAAAAAAAAAAAAATTGCACATCCATGCCTCCATTTCCTGTTGAAGAACTTCAGGGGTAAGCTTGGGCTGTTACCATTAACCGCATGATTCTGCAAATAGGGTCCCAGACAGGTGAAATGGCTGTGCTGAGGACAGTCCTGCGGCCAGATCCCAGGACAACGCCAGAGTAGCTTCCCCCAAAATTCACTGTCATGAGGGAGGGTGGAAGGATTAAACTCTGTTCAGGTTAGAGAATCACCTGAAGGAACGACAGGATCTCTGAGGAAGGTGGCTAGAAAGACCACTTTAGGAGCCTCCTCGTCTTCAGGTATGTTTCAGAAAGCAACTTACTCTACTAAGATTAAACAGCGAGGTAGAAACACAGCTTTGCCCAGAGCCCAGGATTTCTACCCACAAGGGTAAGGGCATTTGTTGGGGGTTAGGGTTGATTCCCAAGAGCTCCCAAGGGTAAAAACAGAGACACAATGACTTGGAAGAATAACTAAGTGCTTAGGAAGAGAGAGGATGATAAAGGAAGTGGAGGGTTTCACCCCCAACCCCTGCAGCCCAAACCCTCTCCTCACTTGTGCAGAGGCCTGGCAGAGGGCCAGGAGGAGGGTATTGGGAAGTGCAATATAAACCTCTGAGATTTATTGGCTGCTGCTTCTGAATATGGCCAGCCTGCTGCGGCCTCTGGGGGGCATTTGCCGATGTAATCAGCCCAGAAAGAGAGTCATTCCAGCCAGGGGTGTAAATCACCCTTCACAAAGCTGGGAGAGAGACATGTGGCCCTAGATAAGGAAGGAGAGATGTGGCCTCTTGTGCCGTTTCCTCCCTTCTCCTGCCCAGGGGGAGCTAGTTCCTGAGCTGTAATGCACTTTAAATGGAGTTTGGTCTTCGTTTTAATCTCTATCTGCCCTTCCAGTCTTCCAGGAGAGCTGTGAAAGTGAACATCTGGCTCCTCAGCTTTTGTACAGGGCCTGATTTCCCCCAGCTCCATACTACCTCCTTATGTTAAGTCAGAAAGCTATAGCTGGGCAAAGATAGCCCCCACTGTCCACTCCACTCTGGCAATAGTTTCAAAATGGGATTTAAAAGCAAAGGGTAACTTGGGGCACCAGGTGGCTGAGTCAGTTAAGAGTCTGCCTTCAGCTCAGGTCATAATCCCAAAGTCCTGGGATCGAGCCCAGCGTGAAGTCCACTCTCCCTCTGCCATTCCCCCCTGATTCTGCTCTCTCTCTAATAAATGAATAAAATAAAAAAAAAAAAAAAAAAGAGGCAGGGGCGCCTGGGTGGCTCAGTGGGTTAAGCCTCTGTCTTCAGCTCAGGTCATGATCTCAAGGTCCTGGGATCAAGCCCCACATTGGCCTCTCTGCTCAGCAGGTAGCCTGCTTCCCGTCCCCCCTTGCCTGCCTCTCTGCCTACTTGTGATCTCTCTGTCAAATAAGTAAATAAAATCTTAAAAAAAAAAAAAAAGCAAAGGGAAACAATTTCAATATTTTATTTATTTGAGAGAGAGAGAGAGTGAGCATGCATAGTGAGGGGAGAGAAACTCAAGCAGACTCTGAGCACAAAGCCTGACTTGGGACTTGATCTCACAATACTGATATCAGCCCTGAGCCAAAACCAAGAGTCAGGTGCCTAACCAATTGTGCCACCCAGGGCCCCAAATGGTAACCATTTCAGATGGTTGGGATGCTAGGAAACAGCTGAAAGACCTATGAATCAACAGAGGTTGGGATGGGAGTTAAGAGGTGTCACCTCTGCTCTAACCTTCCTTTAGCAAACAAGCCCAATCAAGTTTGGGTGGCAGGATAGGGTGGGAAAAGGCATGTGCTCAGGATGCATACTCTGAGTGTCCATTCAGTGCCCTCCCCATGGAATGGACCAGGAAGGCAGGAACAAACTCAAACTGCTAGGCTGACAGCAATGCCCGATTCCACCTGTAACAGGCCAGCCTTTTTGTGAGAATCAGATGCTGGACTATCTTTCTGTCTGGGCACTGGAGTGGAGAGCCTGACATCACTGGGCCTTGGATGATGATTGGAAACCAAAGGCAGGGGAGGGATGAGGAAGCCTCTGCAAATAATTATGACTCCAGGAGTTATATGGACAGCTCTTCCAGCACACCCTCTCCCCACCAACCACGTCCACTGTGACTGCCAACACCTGCTAGATAAGCAGCATTGCCTTTGGGAACCTTGTGGATAATGACAAACGAGCCTGTCCTTTCTACAAAGATGATGATACTCAGCTATCATTCAATTCAGTAATGTCTTTTGAGACTGATTATGGGTTCAACTTTGAACCAGGTGCAGAAATGATTAAGAGACAAACCCTGCCCTGGGAGCCTTTGCAATCCGCTGCTTGGGCTCAACAGTCTAAAAACCTTGTATCTTACTCCATTTTCATTTGTTGTAATCATGGGTTTCTGCCTTCTATCAAGCCCTCTCTCACTGGAAGCTTTAATTCCTGCTGCTACCCTCACCTAAGGTGTTAGCAGTGTGGTGAATAGTTAAGAACACAAGCTTTATAGACTGCCTGGATTCAACTGCCATTTTCAACAAAGGCTGGATGACCTTGGGCACAGCACTTAATTTTTCCTTGCTTCAGTTTCTGCATGAGTAAAATTAATAATAGTATCTACTTCATGTAACAGTAATCAGGATTACACCAGTATGTAGTAAAGAGTTTCGCATAGTGCCTGGCACAGAGCACACAGTGAATAAATGCTATCATTCTAAGTAGCGTGCAGGAGTTAATTTTTCTGTGAACTTGACCTGCTCCCACCACCAGACTTGCTGCCTTGGAGATGGAGGCTAGAGTACCTCTTTCCTTTGCTAGTGGGCCAGACTGCATACAGGGATGGGGAAAAAGGGAACCATTCTCTACCTTGCCAGACTTTTGAGGGCAGGAATGGTATAACTGAATACCTGTGGTAATTAGAATTGACAACCCCAGATATACATTTAAAGGAACTGGTGTTTCCTCAACATTTGCCTGAACTGAATGGGGAAGGGGGAAATGTAATCTTCCATACCCCCTCCCACTTTATAATCCTGATGAGAAAAGGAAAATGCTCCTCCCTTCTCTATGCCAGAGGTCAGCCAGGTACTGGACTAAGACTGAAAACCATGTTTTGTTTTTGTTTAAAAAAAAATGTATTGTATTTGAGAAAGAAAGGGCAAGTGGGGAAGGAGCATACAGAGATGGACAAGCAAAAAGCAGGCTCCACACTGAGCATGGAGCCCAACGTGAGGCTCAATCTCATGACCCCGAGATCATGACCCAAGCAGAAATCAAGAGTCAGAGGCCTAAATGACTGAGCCAGTCAAGTTAGTTTTTCAGGCACCCGCTGAAAACCTTGTTTTTAGAAAGAACGGTTTAGAAAGACCGTTTTCTTCATTTCTTGACTTTATGTTGAACAAATACAATCAGTGTTAGTATAAAGCTAACCTAATATACAACACATGCCAAGGTCTCCCGCCTGGGGTCTTAGCCCTTAGTCTCATCTGTGGAGCCCAAGCAACCCGTACAGCCCTGACTTCTTAAGAATCTATAATTGAGGCTCTTATATATTTAACATCTAATACAGTGAATAGAAAGGCACACTATTCTTTGATGAGGATTTGGTAACAGCAAATCCATTCAGGGTATAGACACTGGAGCCATACTGCCTGGGTTCAAACCCCAACTCCACTGTTCATTACCTGTGTGATTATGAACAAGTAACTTTTTTTTTTTTTAAGATTTTATTTATTTGTCAGAGAGAGAGCACAAGCAGCAGGGAGCGGCAGGCAGAGTAGGCAGAGGGAGAAGCAGGCTCCCCCCACCCCCCCGCCCTGAGCAAGGAGCCCGATGGGGGATTCGATCCCAGGACCCTGACACAGATCATGACCTGAGCGGAAGGCAGCCACTTAACTGTCTGAGCCAACCAGGCATCCCTTAAACAAGTTACTTAATCCCTCTGTGTCTCAATTCCTTTACCTGTAAAATGTGCAAAATAATAAGTGCCTGCCTCACAGAATTGCCGTGAAAATTAAATGAGTTTATACATATAAAACGAGTTCATAAAAAGTCTTGCACACAGTAAGCACCTAAAAAATATTAGTTACTATTATTATTCCTGAAAACAACATGAATCAAATCACATGGCACCTATGCAAAGGGAGGACATTATAAGAAATTATATAGGCAGCAAATGGAGCCTTTTAGGCAAATACATTTTTTTTCCCCACAAAGTAGATAAAATAATTAAGCTCTAGTTTTTGTTTTGCAACTCCAAACACCCACTTAATTAAGATTACTGTAATGGGAACATGTGTACCAGTCTCTTCCTGGGGGGAGGGGGTTGGTTCCACTTTTCTGGGGGAAACGATCAGGAAATGACCCACTAGGGTAGGCAGTGAGTCAGGGGATCCCTTCCTCATACTTGGAAGTGGAGGTGCTTCAAACATTTTCCTCCTCAGGCCACCAGGAGTACCTGTTTAGCAGGGATAAGTATGTGGGGGTGGGACAGAGGAGCAGAGTATTCCCCTCAGCCATCTGCTCCTAATGTGGAAACAGCTTTTCTCTCCTTTCCCCTATGCTCTTCTGAGCTCTGAGCCCAAGGGCTCAGGGAGAACGCCAGGTACCTTCCCTGTGGGCAGAGGCAGGATCGGGCGGTGGAGGCAGCAGGCTCTAGAAGCTACATTAAAGAATACCGCAGTGCCCTCTGCTGGGAGGCACACATAAGGCACTCCAGAAGAGCCCTGCCCCCCCCCCCCCCCCCCCGCAGACATCTGTCCAGCCACAGCCCTTTTTCCCTCCTGCTCACTTAAAAAAGGTTTCCATGCTCCAGAACTCAGGAAGAAGTCACTTTGGTCTCTATTCTGTCTCAGCCAGGCTTCAGAGCTCTTTGTCCTTTTCTTTTCTTTTTTTAAGATTTTATTTATTTGACACACAGAGACAGAAATCACAAGTAGGCAGAGAGGCAGGCAGAGAGAGAGGGGGAAGCAGGCTCCCCGCTGAGCAGAGAGCCCAATGTGGGACTCGATACCAGGACCCTGAGATCATGACCTGAGCCAAAGGCAGAGGCTAAATCCACTGAGCCACCCAGGCACCCATCTTTGTCTTTTTCTAGTCCTGAGCTATCACTCCCACTAGGTTAATATGGGAGAGTGACAATTTTGAGTCAATTCCACTGCCACCCCAGGCCACAGGGGTGTATCTCACTATGAAGACAAAAGCCTACTTGCCTTAACAACTCTAAGAATGGAAAGCCTGGGATAGTGCTGAAGAATGCACTTTAAAAGGTTTTCTTTTTTTTTTTTTTTTAAGATTTA